TCAGCTGTTAATAGGCTCCATAGGTATTTCACAAAATCAGGAGATGCTTTCCCTAGCATTCCTCTTCAACAGCTCAGCATGGTTGTTGTGAATAGGAGAGGCTGATTTGCAAAGACATCCGAGATCCCCTGTGTCAAGGGAAATGTGAGGGCAAACAGGAGGAGCAGCACCGAGCTCTGCCTCTGGATAGCAGGAATGTTCTGCATGGATGGAGGAAAAAAGTGGCTTGCAGCAGTGGAGCAGGCAGATACCTCGGTGAATCACAGGTTCAGCATGAGTCAGTGCTGTCACATGGCTGTGAAAAGGCACACGTCACAGGGGGCTGTGTAAGGAGCTGCTGCTTCCCAAGGCATCTGAAGCATTCCTCTGCTCCCAGTGCTGGTGAATCCATCACTCCTGCTAGTCCCGTTTTGGATGCTGCAGTTTGAGGAATATATGGGCCAATAGCCGAGTTCATGGAGAGTGGTGAAAGTGGTCAGAGGGCTGGAAACCATGAGGAATGAGAAAAGCTTGAAAGGACCTGAGATTGTTTAGTCTAGGAAGGAGCAAGCTGGAGGGGGGACAATATGAAAAGCTTTCAAAGACTTAAAAGGCTGCTGCAAGAAGTGGGGGGGTGATCTGTTCTTAGTAGCTACTAGGAAGAAGATATCAAGTCATAGGCTGAGCAAGGAAATTTAGTCATTGGCGAAGAGTTACATAAGGCTGATGAAGTACTGAAACATTAGTGCGTGTGGGATTGGTGTCAGGAGACCTTCAGAGGACCCATCTCTGGGTGGGTGGGAGAGGAGCTCATCTTCCTTTGGCTGGTGGGATGCACTGTGAGACCTTTGTAGCCAGGTTCCCAATTGCTGGAAGATTATTTTCTAAAGCTTGTGATGAAGTCCGCCTCCATTAAACAGGCATACATTTCCCAGACTCTGCTGAGCATGTTACAAGGCATCAGGGATTACGTGTGGCAGTGGCACTTTATCACTGCTATAGCAGCAATTTTCCAAGCTCCTGGTCAGCTGCAGGCTTGCACCAAGATGGAGGAAGCATTACTGTTAAGGACAGGGATACAGAGTGTGTTCACCTATAGTGGGACAGCGAGGGAACCCATGGCCTGCTGCTTGTCCCTGTGTTCTACAACCATGCCAGATGATGCACAGTCACAGTCCTTGTCCTGATGACATTAGATGGTGCAGGGGAATCCCCCACCAAGGCAGAGCTCCCCGGCCTTTTTTTTTTTGCTAGTTCAAGGGCAGACTTTAGCTGTGCTTTTTAATTGTAAAAATTCAGAGCATGTCTTTGTGTCCTAAATAGGCGATTGTCCTGATCCTCATCCCTGGGATCCATTATGTCTTAGCAAATTACTTTCTCTCTTCTAAATGCCTTAGTGATTAAAGATGCCACAGCAGATACCCTTAATGAGTACAAAAAGGGTAATAATTCCTCTTGTTGGCACTGAATGCAATTAATCAGGCCCCTTTACTTGCTTTTAAAACAGATGAGGCATTTAAGGCCAAGCAAGTTTTTAATTGGACTTTAATGTTTCTCATTTACTTCATTTTGGCACAAGCCTAGGAATTCCCACCCCCAGGTTTGCTGGATTTATTCAGGGTGATAAAAGGCTCAGCATGGAGTGAAGACTCAGGAGCAGACTCAAACATGTCCTTCAGCCTGTGCCTGGCCCCATTGCCTGGCCCAGGCTTGGTCCTGCTGCAGCAGCACAGAATTGTCTGGACAGGAACAGAACTAGGTTGTCCAGCTCAGAGCATGGAACTGACATTGGATATTAATAATATTTCTGGAATAGTCATCGACACAAGGGTGCAACATAGCCTGCCCTTTTTTGTCATGTTCCCTTGCCTTGAAGGAACTGTTGACTTGTGAGTATTCTTGTGGTTATCTATAGATAATACAGACTCTGTAGCTTCAAGTAAGAGGTGATTTATATGTTTTAAGCAATATTCCTGAGATCCATGGCAGAGAGGACATACAGAGGCCTTGAGCACCATTACAGATGGGTGTGTGCATCCAGATGTTAATGATATATGCCAGGAATTGCCATGGAAGAAAAGATACATTGTAAGCAACTCTCATCTAATTTGCAGCTCCTGCTCCCTGAGGCCAGCACCACCTCTTCTTCCACCTCTGGCCATGAACCATCTTGCCTTTGGTTCCCTTCCCTCCTATCTATCCTCCACTGTCGTTTGGGGACAGCAGTGGCCTGTCAGCAGGTCTCAGTCTGTGTTTCATGCAGAGATGAGTTCAACAGCCCAGCTTGGCTGACTGGCCCCTCAACTCAGCTCTTCCCTGCCAGCAGCCGACCAAGGTTCAGCCAAAAAGGATCAGCCTCAGCATGTGTGAGCCTGCCTCTGAGCCTGCTTGTCACTCTGCAGGGCAGAGATTTCTCTAACATCCAGGAAAGATCCCAGAACTTTCAGTTGGGTTTTTCCAGGTGTGTGCTGTGTCCTTTCCAGTCAGACCTGTCTGTATTTCAAGTGACAGTGACTGTGGACTTCCACCCATGGAAAGGTCAGTGGATGCAGATGAGCTGTGGGTGTCCTTGGATTGGTGAGATGGCTCTTGGGTCATTGGGGTTTTTTGCCTCAAAAAAACCTTCAGGAGAAATCTAGGGACAAGGGACAACACCCTCCATTTCTACATCCCTGCTTCTCCCACTTCAGTGGTAGGAAAATCTTAAGCTCAAGTGTGTCTGGAAAGTTAAGTGTATTCAGAGAAATGTGTTATTGAATATCTTGTGTTAATTTAAATGTCTTCTGCCTGCCAGGCTTGGGGCAGAGGAGCTTTACCAGCTGGATCAACCACAGCGCTTCCCTAGATCTGTTTCAGGCCACCTTTAAGGCCTCCCAGTGCAGTGTAAGGAACTGCTGTGCACAACCACTGGGCTCTGCTTTCCAGGCAGCTGCACAGCAGGGAATGCCACGGGGGAGGCTTGCCCCCAATACTTTATTTGGTTCATCCTTATTCTTTGTCATATCTCCTTTCTTCCGACTCCCTCACATCTTGAACACACATCTGATACTGGGTCTGATGGTTGAGCAAGTCTTGGATAGCCAGATGTGGGAACCAAGTCACTCCAATTTTTTCTTCTGCTGAGAGCATCTTTGCCCATTTTGCCTCCTTACACGACTTCCCTGCTACCTGCAGATACGGATACCTGGAGCCATCATGCCTTGAAAAGTAAGGGAGAATTGGAGGCTGAGCAAGGATCAAGGTTTTATTGTGTGATCATGGTGTGAAGGGCTGTAGACATCTTGATGAGATGTTTAGGGATAAAGGTGAATCAGAGAGCATCCAGTTTGTTCTGTGTCCCCACAGAGTGAGCAACTGCTGACTATTGGGCTGTGCTCCAGCCATGGGCAGGGACTGAAGGACATAAGAGGGCCAGGTCCTAGGACATTTCTGCTCCTCTGGTTGGTATTGAGGAGGAACAGGCAGCCTTGTTCAGTTGCTATGGAGCCTGCCAAGATATCCTTAATCCCAAATATATCTATGTCAGGAAGCTGCAACCCCAAGTAACTCTAGCCAGCCATTCTTGTATTGAGAGTCTTCTGGCTGAGGCTTACAGAGTTGTCATTTTCTTTGATTTAATTCCATATAAACTGCAGAATTATTTTCCTTTAGAGGCTTGCAAATTACGGAAGCATAAACCATGCTAATGATCTGATAAGGACAACTTTGGATACATTCCCAAGAATGGCTTCCCCTGGGCAGGAGTGTGCTCAAAGAGCACTGATGGAGAGCAATTTGCCATGCTCACCTGGCTGCCTTCCTTGGGCCCCCCTTCCCAAATTCCTTCATCTCTCAGGAACGAGAGTAATTTCCTCTCTGGCTTCTTGCAGAGTCAAAGGCCCTGCAGACCTGAAGTTATCTCTGGAATGTGTGTAAACACGAGTTCAATGGGATGCTGTTTGTCCCCCATTCCTGGGGGGGTTGGAGAAGGGTTAATACAAGTTTGTTTTACGGGTTCCTATCCCTGAGAATTGTCTTCCTTAGAGGGCAGCTCGGCTGACCTGAGCCCCTGTGTGTGCATTTCCCAGCATAAAGGGGAGATTCGGGGGCCCCACTGCACGGGTGGGATTTCACTCCTCTAAGAACAAGGGATGAAAGACCAAAGTGGTCTTCCTGCCAAACAGAGACCCAGGAGATGGTATGGGATCACAGTGCACATGCACTGGGACTCAATGTGCAGCTTAATGGGATTTAGGTGATGCTTGGACAGAAACAAAACAGGAGAAGGTTGGGGGTTACAGGCAGTTCTCTGCTCCCATCTTCAAAGAGCATTGAAATGTAAGCAGGGGGATAAAACATTTTAAGTGGTGTATGGGCTGGGGCAAAATGCATTTCAATGAGAGGTATAAGGAACTCTATCAGTTTGCATAGAAATAATTCAGATGCAAGTTCATTAGTGGTGTACAAGTCACTAATGAGACTCACCTGGAGACTAAAGTGTTCTTGGATTTAGAATAAGGAGCAGCAACCAGAACATAAAACTAGAGAAAATCAAGCATTAGTACCACATAAATGGTTAATTCCTAGATGTGTTGTCAGCACTAGTGACGCACTGAGGTTGGATGCCTTCCAGAAAACAACACTTTAACTGAAGACAAAGAAGCAGACTTAGCACAGAGGTGATCAGTGGAATGGCTTGGCCTGGTGTATACAAGGGGTCAAACTAGATGATTTAATGATCTCTTTTGGCCTGAAAGCTCTCTGTTCTCTTAAGAAGATAAATGAAAAAGCCCTTTCACAAAAACCAAGCACTTGAGATATGTGTGTAATGAACTCTGCTGCTTCCAGGGGAATGGCAGAGCAGGATCTGCAGGAAGCGTGACCTTGCCGCCTGCAGGCTGCCTGGGGTTGGTGGCCATCTGTTTGGTGGCGGTGGCTCGCTACCATCGAGGCCAGCGCTCTCGTGTGTGACGTTTCTCAGCTCTGTTTTTAATTGCCCTCTCCCTGCATTTAACCAACATTTGCTCCTTAATCTCCGTCAGGGTGAAGAGGCCAAGCGGTATGAGTAGCCTCCTGGGGAAGATTGGTGCCAAAAAGCAGAAGATGAGCACACTGGAGAAATCTAAACTGGACTGGGAGAACTTCAAGGAGGAGGAGGGGATTGTGGAGGAGCTGGCAATCCATAACCGAGGGAAAGATGGGTAAGAGGGGCTTTACCTAATAGTAGTCCAGAATTTCCCATCACTTCCTTTACATGAGGGAAGCCCATTACTGGCTACAGAGTTCAAAAACCCATGGGGTTTCTTAAGGATTTTTTCTAGGGATACATAAAGCCAGTAGCTGCTGTAAGCATCACAGGGAGACAGGTAAGTCTGCAAACACCTATCACTCTCTGCTAACAACCCTGTGAGTTCTCTAAGTCCAGTCTGGCTTTGTCATCTCTTCTCTTTGTGGCACAGAGCCTGAACTGGTCTAATGCAGCCCCTCCGTGAGGAAACACAGTTGCCTTTGTCCTGTTTTCTTTTTTCAATTTGGGAGGGTTTTGTTCTGTTCATCAAATCGCACGTTTCAGCTGCATCTGTCCTCCTTCCTCCCACATAAAGATTTGTGTAAACCCAGAACAGCTGGCAAGGTGCGTCAAAGATTATGGCAGCGCTGGGCGTTGCTTGTGTGCATCAAGCAATGTTCACCCCAATGAAGTTAATGGAAGTATCATAAAAGTAAATGGCAATGCTGTAAATAAAGCAGAAAGTTAATAACATGCACTGCGGGGAGTGATAATGAGATCAGAAGCAGCATTTCTACTACAAGTGCTTTGCTAAGCTCTGGGAAAACATAACCAGCTTAGTGGACAGCTCGTAAAATGTACATTTTATTATAAGCTGTTCTTTTACTGGAAGAACTCAAAGCTTCTGCATTCCAACAGATTGGTTTTTCTATTTTAAATAGATATTTTATAACTGTCAAACTATCAAATAGATATTTTCAGTTTGGTCTTGCACCATTCCATAAACACACCCTCTCCATCAAATCTCCCCTGATCTGTTTCTGGTAATGAAATAAATGCATGCCCTTGAAAAAGTAGAGCAATTCAGTTGCAGTGCTGAATTGCTCAGAGCAGCTGTTCCTCTGAGATCCCTGAAGTCCAAGAAGGTGCATGATTTACACCACACACAGGTGTGGCAGAGCAGTGTTTTGTGTCATCTCTTGTGAGCCCAAACCCAGTATGTCAACTGTTCTTGGCCAGTGCTGTTTCCTTTCCCACCCCATCCAAGCAGGACAGCTTGCTCTTCATGCCTGGCAAACCTTTCCAGCGATGCTCACGTGATGGTCCTTGAAGGCTAAAGAAGGGATCAGCACATGGAAAAGATGAGCAAAGCAGAGCAGCAATTTTAAGAGCATCTTTAATCTTGGACAGCTTTGGGTTTTGCTGCCTGTCACATCCCAGGCTAGAAAATCTGCTGAGCTCTTGGCAAGCAGTTTTTGTCATTAAACAAAGGAGGAACATAATGCCAGGGTAACTTTGGACACTCCTTATGAATATGTTTATACTAGTCAGGCATGCAGCATGAGGGATCACCCGAGTATCTGCTCACTAGGAGTTGCTTACACCTTCAAGGTAAAGGGAGAAGGGAGGAGCACCGATGGAGGCACAGCCCACTGCATTTCTGCTTACAGGCCACCTCGGTGTGAAGGGTGCAGTACTCTCACAGAGCAGCCATGTCGCCTGGGGGGCAGGTCACGCAGACACAGCTGCTGCTGGCCTCAGGTCATTTCACAGGAGCCTGTTGTCCCTTCTGCAGCTGCCTCTTCTCCTTTAATAATGTCAACTGTGCTCACCCTTCAGTGGGCAATCATTTACACATCTCTATAAAAATTGTAATGAGCTGTTGTTAACCCTTCAACCCAGGCAGGCGAGAGTGGGGCGCTGCCTTTAATCCCTGGTGCTGTTAGAAACCTCTGCTCCCCACATGTCCTGCTGAGTGATTGTAAATGTCTGCCTGAGTGGAAAGCTGCAGTCCACTCCTGGAGATGTTTGCTCGATGCCACACATCCTGTGCGCTTACAGAGATGGTCTATGCATGTCTCAAGAAAGGCTGGAAGCTTTCCCTTTTGCTCAGGAGGGAACACAGGCTGAATTCCTTTATTGTGCTAACCCTGTGGAAGTTGCTGCAGCCCAGAAGCTCCTCGTACCTCCCTGGCCCTTCTCTAGCAGCCACACTAGAACACAGCAACCAGTGGAGCAGTGGGGCTGTGGCATCTTTCTGCTGCCAGTGCCAGTTATCAGCCAGCCACAGCCTGGGCCTAAAAATCCTGAGAGGGAACGTGTGCTGCCCCATGGCTCTGTCGTCCCTTGCCTCTGATTTTCCACCCCTTGTACCCCCAGCCCCCATACAGGGATTTGCATTTCCTTAGGAGTAGAATCTGGGCTTTTACAGCCTGTATCAGGTCCTGAGGGCCTGTCCTGGATTTGACAGGAGGGGCTGGAGTAAGGAGCAGAGGCAACTATCCCCTTTGCTGTTCATCTCTCTGATGTGCTTTATAAATGGAAATGTGTAGTGGCCTCTTAATTGGGCCACCTTTGTAGGGCAGCCCCATGGGGGAGCAGCCGGCCCCAGGCACTCCTGCACCAGGTGACTGATGGTGACTGACAGGGGACAGGCAGCACTGAAGACCCTCCCCAGAGCAGCTTGCAGCTGCCCTTGTTAGCAGAGAAAGCCTTGCTCCCAATGGGTTTACTTTGCTCTGCTGTGGATCACAGCTGCCCTGTTTCCAGGCGGGTTGATAATTTACAGGAAGCTATTGATTCAGGTAGCAAAGGTTGTTTAGACAAGTGCAGGACGTGTGTTTGTGCCTCACTCATGCACTTTGCACCGTGTTTGGTGGTGCCTTGGTGCCGGCTGCACGGAGCTGGCTGAGCACAGAGAGACCTGCAGCTCCAGCACAGGCTCCAGAGCATGGAGAGGCTTGTGCTGACCCTGCAGCTTCCCTGCTCACTCTTGTCTGCACCTCCACCCCTGTGGGCCTGCAGCACAAGCTGGCCAGGCCCCACGAGCCCCAGTGCATGCCCAGGTAGTGCCTGGGGGGTCTGCTCTGGTACCTACAGCACTTCTGTGGCCAGCCAAGGACAACGCCACGGGATGACGTCGGTGGCAGTTCCTCCTCCGTGCTGTGGCTGCGAGACCGCATTCCTGGTTCATGATCCATATCGATCCCCCAGGAGGCAGCCCTGCCCACCAGAGAGGCACAGCAGGCAGGGAGGAAGAGGAGAAGAAAGAGACTGACCCCTTGCTGGGGCTGATAGATGGGTGTCACAGAAGGGCCAAAAGAGCTTCAGATTCAGTAGGTTGGGCAGCCATTGGGGTGTTTCCAGATGAACATCAATTAACTCCTGTCCTTGTCTTCCCAGCTGGGGTTGTGGTTGGTGTTCAGCAGTGGAGGGGGAGAAAAGCCACACGCCCAGCAGTATGACACTGAGCACATACAGCGTGACCCCTCAGCTTCCTTCCTGTGGCCTCTCTGAGCCCAGCCCCAGGAGCCGGTCACCTCCCTGCTTACAGGGATGAAGGGAAGCGACACTCCCCTGCCTGCCTTTCCTGAACCAGTGTGGGGAGGGGGCCTCAGTGCACAGCCCTCCTCCAACAGTGAGGGGCAAGGGCCACCAAAGCACCTCCTCCCAGCCGGCTCTTTGCCTGCATTGCACCGTGCTGGTCCCTGCCCCTCGCAGCCAGCGGAGATGAGCTGACCCAGTTGTGTCAGCCCGAGACAGGCTGGGGCTGCGATGGGAGTGGGATGGCAGCAGGGACGCACGGGGCTGTTCACCCACTTGGGGGAATCACTCGCGGAAATTAATCTGGATTAACTCATTTCCAGTGATGACTGGGTGGGCAGGAGTGTCAGGGCTGTCCCTTGCAGCAAGGACAAAGGCTCCCTGCTGGGAATACATTTGGTACAGGTTCCATAGTTGTAGCATAAAGAATTGCAGAATCACAGAATGGTTCGGGTTGGAAAGGACCTTTAAGGGCCAACTAATCCAATCCCCAGCAGTGAGCAGGAATTCTTTATCTAGATCAGCTTGCTTAGAGCCCCATCCAGCCTGACTTTGCAGGGACCTCATCACCAAATGTTCATCTGTCTCAGAGAGACCACAGGTAGGAGAGGCCTTGAACCTTCCCATGTGGGCCTTGGGCACTTTGATGCACACTGCCAGCCACTCAGCAGCCTGGAAAACCTGCAGAGCCTGAGATGCTCATCTTCCCTTAGGCTTTGGTCTTGCTTTCAAGCAATGGGTTGCTCTGTTGAGCAGGAAAAGCAGTGACCATCAAAACAGCCAAATTCAGGGGTTCCCTGCACAAGTTTAATGACTTTGTCATGGCAGTCCAGTGTTTGCCACCCTGGAACAAATGCAAAACAATTGTGATTATTCAATTACAGCTCCTGTTTTGAATTGCAATTTCGCTCCTTCTGTAGGTTAATTAGTAGCACAGCCCCAGGCTTCTATGGCAAGGGTTTGCAGCAAAGTACATTACAATTCAGCTGCATGCCATTAATGAGCAGCAAGGTGCTTTTCCAGGCGTAGGCGTGCCTTCTTCCTCGCAGCACTCAGGTGCCATGCTGAGGGGCAGCACTAAATAGTCAGTGGTTAGAAGCTGGTCTGTGGCTGGGAAACCCCTGGCCTGCATCCCTGAGCTGCTGAAGGCTTGCTGGGTGATGCTTTTTGCATCCCTAATGCTCCCTGTGCCTGTTCCTGGCTTGTATCATGGGCCTGTCAGCTTGTATTGAAGGTTGTGGTTGGGTTTGAGATGCTTTGCTGGGTGGCGCAAAGGCCTGCTCTGATCCCCTTCAAGGTGTCTGTGGAGGACATTTTTCTCAGCTGTAGAAGAGCTGAAACCAGAATCAGCCAGTTTAGTTCTCTAGCTTATGCGACCACCAGACCTCTGGGAGTCCCCCAGATGACAGCCAGCAGGCCACAGAGTAGTTTTGATGTCCACAGGAGATGTCGAGTGGGGTGATCAGTTCATGGAAAGAGAGGGAGGGTGACAGACAGTGCTTTCCCTCCCTGCTCATCCCTTTGGGTGGGGTTTGTCCCAGGCTGGGGGCCACACAGGCTACCACAGACACCGCTCACAGCCTCTGCCTCTGCCTCCCTGCAGGTACATCGAGAGGAAAGCATTCCTGGAGCGTGTGGATCACAGGCAGTTCGAAATCGAGCGTGACATCAGACTGAGCAGGATGAAGCCCTGACGTGCTGGGGGTGGCCGGGGGGATTTTGCTCCCTTCTGTGCCCCAGGGCTGGCTGGGGGCTGCCGGCCACCGACAACCACCAAGCACGGAAACTGTTCTCTACCCAAGACTCAGCCTGTATGTCTCAACGTACAGGGTTTTCCTTTTACTGTAATAGTTTGGGGAGGGTATTTGTCAATGGACAGGAGGCACTTTGAGGGTTAAATGGTCCAGCAGCTGATAGAAGACACTGCTGTAATTCTGGCAACAACTTTTCAAGGAGAAGAGGTGGTGACACCCATCCTTTACCAATCCCAGGTGCTTCTGGCAGCAGGAGGAGCTGCCAAGGCTGGGAGAGTACTGGCATGTTTAGCGGTGAGAGTGGAGCTGCAGAAAGGTTTCATGGCTGCTGTGCATATGCGAGCTGTGGGCTGGAGCCCTTCTGCCTGCTCTGCCAGCCCCGCAGCACTCCCTGTCCCTCCGCCCTCTGCTCCTGTCCAGACAAAGCCAAACTGTCTGTACTTGTTTGTGGGGTCTGATGATGCTGGGGGGGGTTTAAGCAAGCTGGTGAAGAAATCCTTCCTTGTTCACGCTGTCAAGAAGATGGGAGCAGCTGCAGCAGGCAGGAAGGGCCAGGATGAGTGTTCACGTGAATAAAGTACTCCATCCCAACACTTTTGCATGCTGGCAGTGTGGTTTGTATGGGAAGCAGAGGACAAAGAAATTAAGGATCACATACAGTAAGTAGTGTCTGACAGGAGTCATAAAAACCTCTCTCAGAGGTGCCCAGTGTGTGCCCTGATAGCAGCCTGGGGGCCAGAGCAAGTGCTTGAATCACCTCCCCTCCTCATTACTGGGGCTGGTGGTGCAATGAAACCCAGAATTGGGGGTGACAAGGCCAATGTAGTCCTGTAGCAGTGCTGCAGGAGTAAGGAAACTCATCCAAAGCATGGCCACACAGGGACACTGAGCAAGTGCAGCTGCCTGGGAGGACAGGCCAAGGCGCCTGGGTGTGGATCGAGCAGCTGGAGCTGGAGACCAGCAATGCAGCGTCCTGCCGGCCGTGCCTGCTGGCCTGACTGGTGGAGTTGGGCAGCTCCTGATGTCAGGCCTGTGCACATCCTTGGAGTAAAGGTATTGACCAGCATTTCCCCACAGGATGCTCTGTGCCCGCTTGGTGGGGCAGCCCGTGCTGGTGCTGTGCTGGGGGAGAGCAGCACAAGCCCCATCCTGCCTGCCCACAGGGTGAGCGATGCCATCACTGCCCATGGCCCCTTGCCTGCAGCTCTGAGCACTCGGAGCCTTGGGCTCGTGTGTCTGAGACAGCCCCTGCTCTGTGGCCATGCTGCAGGATAGATCAGAACAAAACACCACGTGTTCAGGGGAGCTGCAGCCTTTGGCACCCTGTTCTGTACAGAATCAGCTGTAATGGACCTGCTTAAACAAGCCTGAAATTGGACAGAAACAACACAACGGAGTGATGACATGTTTTCATCTCCAAACACTTCCAAGCTAGTTGCTGCTTTGGCTTAGTTTGCAAAAAGAACCAGAGTCCCTGTGCAGGGCACTGTCATGGGGATATCTCAGCTCGGAGCTCCTGAGTGGCAGTAAATGGTCCTGGCAGGACCTCAGTGTGGGCTGTGGAGCAAGGCAGGTGCTGCTGCAGTAGTTGGGCTGCTCTCCTGCTTGGAATGACGGTGCTGGACCATCTCCAGCACCTTCTCCCCTTGTGTGCTGTCCTGCCTTCCTTACAGGGTCCCTCCCAACAGCAACCACAAGGCAGCCCAGGCTTGTTTTGCTACAGATCCCGAAGATGGTGCGATGCTGAAGTAGCCACAAGCAGGGCTGGGAGGGTTGAGCCTGCTGTGACTGCTGAGCAGGCAGCCAGGGAAATTATTTTCCTATTGCTCTGTTGTTGCTGAGAGAAGAGGAAATATTTGGGAACATCTCTGGCCCGTGTCCCCCATGACTCTTATGCTGGATAGTGGCAGGGAAAGATCATGTCACCCCTGCACAGGCTGGGACCTCATGGCATCGCTGCCAACCAAAACCTTTGCTGCAGCCGAGTATCCCTGCAGCACTCTAGGGCCCTTTCTGCTCAGCAGCTGGGTAGCACCAAGTAGGTAAGAAATGGAAAATAATTCTGTGCATTGTATCATGAGCAAGAGCAGAATGGAGATGCAACAAGTACCCTTGGAGATCCCAAAGGCCAGAGGCACCAAACCCAGCCTTGTTTTTAAAAGCATTAAAGAGCTTCAGGCTGTGTCCATAGCATGTCCTGCAGATGGATCTGTGTCTGGATGGCTTGGGGGTGGCTTTGAATCCACACGCACGCTAATGGTGTTTTAGAGGGATGTGGCCAGCACAACCTCCCCTGGTATGCTGGTGAACTGGGAAAATTGATGACCTGCAATTTATGGGATCCTGCCTGCCAGTCCCAGCTATGTGCTTCAGAAACCCTCCAGAGTTTTTTCTTCTTTTCAGCTGAGCAAATATGGAAAACCTTGAAATGTTGGAAGCAACCTGACCTGCTGGAAAAGGGCAGTGTGATGGCAGTAGCCAAGAGCCTCGACGCCCCTCTGCTGAGCTCGTGGCAGCATGGTGTACCCAGTTAAGCTTGAGGATGCTGGGCTGTGGTGCCAGCTCCTGGCCCAGCAAGCTGGGGCAGGCTTGGCGGGATGGCTGGGAGGCAGCCTCCAGCCTTGGCTGATTCCTGGCTTCCTCCACGCTCCCAAGCATCCCGCGTTTTTGCTGGGTTGGATCATGGATTCTTCGCCTCTTTCCTGAAGACGAGGAGTGATTTACAGGTCTCCAGAAAACACAGCTTGGCTGCTTTGGAGGGAAAAAATCAAACAACCAAAACCCCTCTCTGCTTGCTATTTCCATTGCCCAGTCACCTTCCCACAAAGGGGGGTGCCTCAGGACCCGCCAGCCCTCAGCCCCACCAGCCCTTGATGTCCCCGGCAGCCCTGCACTTTCTGCAAGGAGCAATGTTCTCAGATGTGGCTCCATCTTTTGAGACATTCCCACCTTGAGCTGTCTTCTCTGGGAAGCTCACACGTTCTCCATGGGTTGGGACCCACCCTGGGCATTTGCTTGGGGTAATTTTGGCCCTATAAGGAGTCACTCATGGCCAGAGCATCACCTCACCCTGAGGAGCTCCCCCTTCCCTGGCTGCCTGAAGGGGCCCCTTGTGCAGCTGAGCCCCAAACAAGGCTCCAATTGTGTCTGTGTGTCCTGATGGTCAGGGCTTCTGCCATGGCACCCGTGTGCTGGGGCCATGGTAAAACCAGCTGTGTCCAACCCACACCCACAGGCTCAGCTTTACTGATCTGCTGGGGTTGGTGGGGGCTGTTACGGGGCCACGGGAATCATTAGAGAGAGGTAACACTGTGCACTTAAAGCTGCTTCAGTGAAAGGGACACAGGAATAAATGTTGGCTCTCAGCATGGGAGGAGGGTGAATGCTGGCTGGCTGGGAGTGCATCCCGTAGCCCCAGGCTGTCCCGAGGACCACAGTGGGATTCATGGACAGAGCTGCCATCGGGCAAAGCGTGGCAGCTGGGAGAAGGAGGGACCAGAGCGTGGAGCTGACCTTAGGAGCATCTCTCTGCCGCTAGGGCAGCAGTTCCCTGAGGGGCAGAGCTGGAAGGTGATGCTGGCAGCACCATATCCTCTTCTCCAATTTGTTGTTTTCAGCCTCTTCCCACCTTTCCTTCAGAGCAATGTCCCACCAAGCAGCACAGTGGGGATCTGTTTGCAGTGTTCAAAAGTAATGGGGAGAAATGGAGTGGACTGTGGGTCTCCCACCCCATTTGAGGGTCTCCACCCCAGGGAATCCTTGTGCTGGTGGTGGGCACTGGCACTGACATTTGAAACTCAGCTGATGGCGATGGCACAACCCTTCCTGCTGTCAGCCCTTCCCGCTCCCAGCAGTGAGCCCCAGCTGGGGGCGAGGATCAGCGCCAGCCCTCGCTAGGGGATGAATGGGGAGACAAACAGAGCTGCTACTGTTGGGGCAGCCTGAGGCCTGCAGTCTGCCTTGGCTTTGCTGGAGATGAGGGGGTGCCTTGCAATCCTGTTCTTTGGAAAGGCAAGCAGCCTCCCCCAGCATCTTCCCTCCACAGCAAAGCACCAACCCAGTGCCACAGAGAAGCACGAGGATAAATCCTGGTTGTGATCCTGTTGGGTCCCGTGATATTACAAGCCAAGAGAAATGTCCTCATTATTTCCAGAATATTGAAGTCTAATAAATCCTGTCCTGCCTTAAAGGATTTATTTCTTCATTCATTGCTAGGAGACTCAGTCCTGTGTAATCCTATTGCTGCTCCAGGAGGTGGGGAGCGGCTTTCCAAAGCACAGACCTGGCAGGGCTGTGGGCAGGAGCAGGAAGCCCCAGCCAAAGCTGCTGGTCCCAGCAAACATCCCAGTCCCACCCCATTTTCCTGGTATGTCCCACTGTCCCAAAGCAGTGCCCTGTGTTTGATTCACCAAAATGAATCTCATCCAATGTTTGGGGCACAGCTGGGCCAATGGGACATTAATTGGCTGCTAGCCAATTAATATGGCATGGTTCAGCACAGCTTGCTCCCCCTGTCCATTGTACATCTGCCATGCTCCCCCAGATCTCACTTTGGAGTCCTCCTACGCCTTCTCACACCATATCCAGCAGGAAAAGCTGCAAAAAGCCAGGAATAGCTGTGCCCAGCACAGCCAGTCCCCTGCAGCCACAGCAGCAGCCTGCCCGTGCAGAGCCAGCCGTGCCTGGCTCACCATCCACTAGGGACCTCCGGAAGACAATGACGGACACATGAATATGGCTGGAAATTTTGCCACTGAAGTGTTTTCCATAGCAACCGTTGCTGGGGCAACCTGCATCCCAAGGAGCATCCATCCCGAAACACCCAGCCCTGTGTCCATTGGAGCTGGCAGGGAATCACGGCGTGGGACTGCCGGGACCCCCAGCAGCAGCAGCACAGGGATGCTCTGGCAGCCAATCCAGCTCTGAGCACCCCCAGCGCTGCAGGGCCCCTGTAATGCTCCACTTCTCGTCTTCTTTTTGGCATTTCATTTTCTCAAAGGTAGCAGAAGCCTAAGGAAGACCTGCTGCTGCCTGTTGCCCCATGGGTGCTTGGCTGTAGGGATGTGCAGGAGCTGTTGCCAGCTTGGGGTGCTCAGCAGGTGCAAGCAGTGATTTTTGGCTCTGATGGACCAAAAATGGGATTGAGTTTGACAGTGAACACTTTGATCTGAGCATCAACACAGGGAGAGGGAAAAGTGATGTTCCCACTGCTTTTAAGTCCAAAAGCAGGAACCTTATGGCCCCTCAGCACCTGCCTGAAGTCGTATGGTGGCATCTTCTCCCTGGGGACACCTCAGGGATCCCAGGAGACTCTCACTGCTGGCCTGGTGGGCCCACACCAGACTCGGGGTCTCCAAGGCAAACACATGGGATTCATGGGATTAGCTGTAGGGTGGCGGAAGAGAGGCTGGGGAGCCTGGAGCCCACCCCAAGGATGCCCACGGTGCTCATGCCTGCGCTGTCACCACTGTCACCAACAAGAGGAAACCGCAGTCCTCAGGCTGCGCCCGCCGGGGCAGCTGCGGTTTGCGGGCGCAACCACAGTCCCTGCCAGCGGATGTCTCCCAGCCACAGCTGTGCCTCAGTTTCCCTT